GCTCAAAGAATCACACACATAGAAACAAAAATCGTACAAAACGACCAAGTATAACCAGAGATACGGCCATTTCAAACACAAGACACCCAAAAGGGCAGTCACACATCACAAGTATAAGCCATCACAGCACAAACACAATGAACACCACGGCACGCTCACATCCAACGAGACACAACGTCGGATTGAGGAAAACAACCGGCCACAGAAGAAAAAGACATCATACAAAGGACTTTACAAAAATTCAGCAAAAATACCACACAAATACAGTAAAAATCAAAGCAAAATTAAAACAAAAATCAAGACACCATCAACATCAGTCACGAGCAAAGACACGGAGCCGACGGCCTCAGCAGCCGTTACGCCGTTGGCAGTCACAATGGTCTCAGAGCTTGGAGCAAGATCACGAAATAAATCACGATCAACAAAAAAATGAGCAGTGGCACCACTGTCCACCAATGCACGATTGCTGGTGGCCAGGTTGGTGGCTGACAAACAAGTCAAGAACAACTCGTGGTGACGATAATGTGTTTGTGCGGGCGAATAATTCACAGCAGGAGCAGCGGGCAAATGGGAAGGAGGAGCAGCAGGTGCAGCAGGCAAATGGGAGGGGGGTGGAAGAGACAAGGTCGCGGTCATGACGGGGGCCGCAAACTGCTTGCCATTGTGCTTCTCGTACGCGCGCTTCTTGCGGCACTGAGATACATCGTGGCCATAGATGCGACAAAATTCACAGTTGGCATTGACGCGCTCACTCTTTGGGTGGGGCCCGTGGTGTATACCATGGCGACCACGGCCACGACCACGTCCACGACCGCGTCCGCGACCACGTCCACGGCCATGCCCGTGCCCGCGCCCTCCACCATGCTCAACAGCAAAGGCACCCTGTTTAGGTTCGGCGCGGGCACCAGCAGGCGTGAGTTTGTGCAGGTTAGCAGTCACCACCTCAAAGAACTTGCCCAAATCCCAAGACGGTTGATACAGGTTTGCAATCACGTCCCTGAGTTTTGAAGGCAGGCCATCAACCAGTTGGGCGATGACGAGGGTTGCCGAG